TATATATATTATATATATTATTATATATATATTATTATTATATATTATTATATTATATATATAAAATATGTAGATATATATATGTGTGTGTGCATAAGTTCTTAATGTAACATTAACTTGTAAAAACTTATATATACCTAACAGGTTGCAAGCCTGTTACACTCGGTAACAAGTGATTGAGCGTTATAAAAGCTCCTCTTGCAGTACACAAAAAGGAATACACGCTTTTAGACTCGGATCGCGGAAATGTGTACAGCACACCTTGCAATTCTTGTTCCATTTCCGAAAGGTCCGCGGTCTTTAAATATATTACGCCTAACAGATAATCCAAAAAGGATTCCATAAAAGAATTACTATTGTCTCTATTTATTAAGTATTGAGCTAACATCGATTGCTAGAAACATGATCAAATAAAATTTTATTCCACGTATATAAAATCAAATTTATATTATTTCATACCGTGTCTATGCATTTATATAAAAAAACTAGTTACTTTTGGTTCATTAATTTTTGATAACTTTTCGGTAACATCGACGTTAGCTACTCTTTGCAATTCTAATGTTACCTGCAAATAAGAAATATATTTACAGTTATATGTATGGCTTTTGTGTTTTTTACTTATATTGCATACTTTTTAAAAATTTATATATATAAGTACACTTATAAATTTATTTATCTTACAGTTGAAGGTGTGGTAATTTCAGACAATATCTGATCTAAATTTTGAGAAGTGACAGCATTTGAATCAATATTCCGTAACCAATCGCCAATTTTTATGTTTTTATTCTTCATAGCTTCGCCATCCGGTATGAATCCTGCAACCATGACCCTTAATGTGTCTGAGAACGTTCCCGGTATAATACCAAAGTATGCCTCGCACAAAGTTGCTCTTCTACCCAACTTGTGTCTTTTTTCAGGATCAACCCACAATGTAACTTGTCGAACTTCTCCCGTCTAATTATTATAAATAGTTACGTGCGTGCAAAAATACAAGAAAAATTTTATTTTTTAATTTGGATCACAAATTAAAAAAAGAATTATAGTAAATATATATTTACTTTTCTGACAATATTGTGTTTTACAAACTACTTCCCAATACCTGAAACTCTCGAAATGTAACTTCTTTGTTTTCGCTTCTGTTTGCTTTCTCCTGAACAAGAGCGTTGTTTGTTACGGTGTTGTTTATTCTTTTATTTCTGGTGCTCCATCGCTTACTTTCTTTACGTCTGATGAGACGAAATAGTTTGCCAGTTCTGGTGCTACGGCGACGTATCAATTCAGACTGGGGACTGTCACTTTTGTCATCCAAAGCTGTAGAATTCTCGTACAAACTCTCTTCCACGGATTCTATGTAAAATACTTCTCCATTGGGCCCAACTTCCGATTCCCATTCCACTATAGAACTATAAATATATCAAATGATTAAAAAAAAAAACATCACATGTATCTTGATAATTGAATATATAACTTATAGATCTAATCTTTACCTATCGGTATCCGAATAATATGATCCCGTGCTGGAACCGCTGTCGCTTGCCCACCAGTCATGATCATCTTCGTTACAAATATCCGTGGGATACGACTGATTAGAATGTTTGTATTTAGATTTTAACAGAGCGCTCTTGTTTTCTCCCTCGCTCATATTTTGTTAAAAATTATTACGACAATTACCGTTGCAAAACAAACTATGCGCTTCTACTATACGTACCTACAATCAGTACATCGCGTAATACGCATGCGCAAAAGATACGGCCCCTCAGGCCCCTGACGTTTATCGGTTTGGGTCAGTTGAGACCTACCTAACATTACTGTTACTACTGATTGGCGGTCTTTTTCTAATGTAGTGCAACTACATTAGAACCTATATGATTTTTAGAATTGAAATTTCAATTCAAAAAATCACATGTAAAATTTACATGTGAACATATATATGTATATACATATATATATATATACACGCTTATTCCCACACAACATCCTGGTTTAGGCTCTCATGACCATTGATATATATATATTTCTGAAGTAGTGCAACGCGGATTGTATTGACCAATACATATCGAGTATCGAAATATCTTCTGTACAGTGAATATCACGACTATCGTGAAATTATTTTTATTAAAAAAAATAATCCGACAGAAAACGTACAAAATAAATGGTAAAAAAATAAAAACTTTATTTGTATATGTATATATATATATATAGTAGACTCCCACATATCCGAAAAAATTCCCATTACCCGAATATCCTAATATCCGAGAACACACATTCTGTTATCCGAACAACGTTTCCGAACAACGTATATATATAGCAATGTTTATGTTTATTTCAATATATTTACATGTACGTCCGGATGATAGAATATTCGGATGTCAGGATTATTCGAATAACAGGGGTTCGGATAATGCGAGTCTCTGCTGTGTACACTACTTTGTATAAATCTGAATATATAAACTAGAGACATAGATTTGAGAAATTCACGAAAATCAGAGTTGAAAACAATCAGTCTCAATAAACAAATTTACTTATAATGCGAGAAAAAAATATTCTAACTTAACAAAAGGAAAGAATATTATATTAATTTATTTCTACGTTTGTAGTTAATATCCTAGAGACAAAAATGATCTCGCGTTTTTGTGTCAATACTAGTATAAATGATGATACAATTTAAAAACTTATTACATTAATACGCACAAAAATTATTATCTATTTTTTTTGATTATATTTAAAAACATTCGCTAAATTTTTTGTTACAAAATTATATGCATCCCACACATTCCGGTACACACAAGTACAGCATACTTTTCACATCGAGTTTTGTGTATAAAATGAGGCAATCGAACTTATCATCTTATAGTTATAGTCTTTTTATGTTTACGGCAGCACACAACAATCGACGATATTACATCGTTAAAAAAAAAAATTGTTTTACATTACACGTCGGTGTAATGTGTATAGTTAAATGGAAAAAAAAAATAAAATAAAAGCTTTTATCGAATCGACTGTTTGAGTCTGGACGCAACCGATTTTATGTCGCTGTATTCTTTCTTTTTGTTTGGATCTAATTGGAAACATTTCCACAATCTTAAGGTTTCGTCGGCACCAGCGCTAAGCACCGTAGTTCCGTCCGGAGACATAGCCAGGTGCAAAACACGACTGGTATGTCCCGTAAGCTCCGCAACTTTCGTCATAGACGGATACTTCCAAATTGTCAACTGATTTTGCGCATATCCATGTCCGGAGACGATTTCTTTGTAATTCCTCGACCATAACAAAGCGCAGACTTGAGATCTCGTATCTATCGTATTTAAACAAGTACCTGTAACGAATAAGGTAGAATAAAGAGATTAGTTTGTACTTATTCATAATACTTTTTCTCATACTTTTTTTTTTATACAATTTTTTCTAATAATTATATTTACTTATTATTATTTTTTTTCAGATCATTATAAATTTTTATTTAGTACAATTTATCAATGTGACGTTTTTCTAGAAAACTTGCCTGTGTTGCAATTCCAAAATCTGATAGTCCGATCGGCAGTACCGCCACCGCTTGCGAGCACATTATTTTGCCAGGGACACCAAGCCAGCGCTTTCACAGCAGCTTGATGCTGATTGAACGAATAAAGAGCTTGCGACTGAGAATATTTTTGTCCGGCAACCGACGACCAAATATATAACATGTTGTCGTTGCCACCGCTAGCCAGATATTGTCCGTCGTTCGACCATTTTAAACCACACACTTCTTGAGCGTGAGCGTTCATAGTCAAGATTAAATGATCCCGTTGCCTGACATCGTGATGTGCGATTTTGCCTGATCTGTGAAAAAAAAAAAAAAAAACAGTAATACAATTAAAAATTTTAAATTTCTGTTTTTTTTCAAAACTGCGCTACTGATTCAAATAAAGTTTAAAATTAATAAATAGTTTTAAGGCTCTTGAAAAATTCAAACTTATAAAATCTTCGGTCATAAGAGCCATACGCAGACCTTTAGCCAGGCACACGTCAGTGAGCGCTCACACACACCAGGCGCGCGGCTCACTGACGTGCGCCTGGCTAAAGATCTGCGCTGATTGGCCTGATCTACTCAATAATTACTCCTTTATTATAAATAATAGAAAAAAATGGTTCAGGACTTTTCAACTCAGTTTTACTCTTTCTACCTGCCTACGAGAGATTGTACGGCAACTCTGGGACACCCTGTATATACCAAATACGCGGCAAACATCCAGCATATGGCTCTTATGCCCAAAGATTTCATGTTTGAAGTTTAAATTGTTTTACAATTTTTATTACATATTTTATTACTTCTATATAATAAAAATATACTAAAAACAGATTTCATAAAAACAAATTGATCAATGTTGAAATTAAAAAAAAAAAAAAACGAATTATCTTCTGTATTTATATAAAATTACATGATAATTTACATTTTGTAAATAATTTACTACCTGCATCCACTGGACAAAACGTGAGAATTCCAAGAAAGAGAACCCACTCTGGCCGAGTGTCCGTTCATAACGCGCATTCTCTTCATCTGACTGCAATCCCATAATTCTGTATTCCCCATCGTTGTGCCTATTGCCAAATACGGACCTTCCTGGATCCACGCGACAGAACACACATAATCATTTGATTCTAATTCGAATAATTGTTCTATGGTTCCAGTTCCAGCATTCCACAAGTATACATTTGCACCCAGTGCCACAGCCAAGATATTATTATTTGACCAATCCACCAAATTTAAATCTGTCAAAAGTTAAATTGTGTTTACATTGAAAAATTTTCTTTTCTCATATTTTTCTAAATAATTTGCTTACAATAATCATCAATGATTTCTGGAGCATCCAATATTCTATCAGGAGCTTGTGGTATGTATCTTGTTGAAGCTCTGGCACTAGCTGGGGTTTTGGTTTGACTGTACAGAACTTTAAGAGGATTTTGATAACCTTCCGGCGGTGCTGGCGCTTTAATCTGATAAGATAAAATCCTTGTGTTATTAATATCACCACCGTGAAGATTCTCGCCAATAAGACGCTGCATCTCTCGCTTGCTAGGAGAGATGTCAACTCTGTCGCCAACCATTTCTGTGTTTTGCTGTTGAATAATCTAAAATAATAGAAAAGAATGATAAACTATGACAAATTCAGATATACTATAAACTTACAAATGTACAAAGATGGTCTAAAGAGTTAATAAACATGTATCTACTTACCTTGTAATGACTCAATTCAAAATTAGTTGTGGATCTTGAAGGGATAAACCTGTCGCCACCATTTGGTGTTTTACCTGGAGTAGTGGCACGACCTGTTATCAAAACCAATTGAAAAACTTTCGCTCTTTATATATAACAAACGAAGGAACTATTAGTACTATACAAACGTATCACAATACTTATTCTAATGTAATTTAGTAAACTTAATAAATGAATAAGTCTTAAAGAGCCATTCGCAGGATACACATATATGAGACATATTTTCCACACAACATCCTGCGAACGGCTCTTTAAGACTTATTTATTCATTTATTAAGTTTAATAAACTTCACGAGCCTGAGAAGATCCTCAATTTAATATTGATTGTAATTTAGTAACTTTTTATTTAAGTATAAGCATAAAAAATCTAACATGCTCTTTCGCTGTGTGTTAAACATTCTATATCACTTACTTATGCTTTTATGTTTCTTACTTGGGGACTTTCTAGTGCCTGTCTTGGAAGGAGTTTTCTTAGTTTTGTTCTCGGTTTTCTTTATGGGAGTCTTTCCCGATATGTTACTTGTAATAGAACAATTTACAGATTTCTTTGACGTGTTCAAAGTAAGATTGGCACTGAAAAATAATATAAAATTAAAGGTCAGTAATTCTTCGATCAAATAAAAAGTAGATGCAAAAAAAAAAATAGAAATTGTTCCAAATATTGAGATATGACGAATTTCATTAACAGACCTCGAGTCAACTTTTTGAGGAAAATTATAAATTATCTGTCACATTTTACCTTAAATTTGATGTATCCATGCATTTCTTTTGCCATCGTGGGGTCGGACCTTTAATAGCGTCGTCCATACGAGTGAGACTGTTGAGGTCTTTCATAAATCTTAAATGCGACATAATTGTCAAATACTGCTATCACGCACTGTCAAATATTTATTACTCTTTGAAATTTTTATCGCTAAATATTTATTATTATTATATTATTTGAACGCACAAGTCACCAGAGTGCCGATTTTAAAAGACCGTTGAGTTTCAAAAATGTTTGTTGCCTCTTGTAACAGATGTCTCCGCGCGTTTCCGGTGCGGGATTTAAATGCCTCAAGGTGAGTTTTCAATAAATTCACGAAACTGAAATTCGAAAGGCCAGTATTCATATAAATATTGGGTGCGTTCAGACACAATTCAACGGTTGAGAGATCATCACTTGTGATAGGACTATTCTTCAAAATCTGATGCGGTTCCAAAAGTGATGATCCAATCAGAAGTGATTATCTCTCAACTGTTGCGCAACTGTCGAGTTGTCTGAACGCACCCATTAGGTGCGTTCAGACAACTCAACGGTTGAGAGATCATCACTTATGATAGGACTATTCTTCAAAATCTGATGCGGTTCTAAAAGTATGATCCAATCAGAAGTGATTATCTCTCAACTGTTGTTGACAACTGTCGAGTTGTCTGAACGCACCCATTATTGACACGACGTAGATCAGACACCGATTGCTACCGGTGTTGTCACAAAGTCGTGTTTTCACGCACGCGCACTGCACCGCCAATCAGTTTCTTCTAAGAGCCGTGTTTTTACGCATGCGCTCTTAAATAGTAGTCTCACTGCCGTACTACTTTCGACATCATTCAAGATTCCGTTGGGACCGAAATAATTTTTCATAATTAACGTGTTTTCTAATGATATTTATTTTGTTTTTTAATAACATTTAAATAAAACAATATTAAGAAAATAAGATTTAAAAAAAAGATAGAAATATGAATTCTGACTTCTTAGAATTCAATTCTGACATCGGAAATACTGACTTCTTTAGTAGCACTGCGCTACTGACTGTTATATATTATTATATTACTTAGTTTTGTTAAAATAAAATAATGTATGTTTGTTTTTTTGAATACTGGTAAGATTTTTGGCAGTTTCCCTTATCTTTGCAACAAATATTGGTATTCGTGATTTCTACCAAATAAAATATTAAATTAAATGTTATTTCTATGTTGATTTATTTCTATTGTCTTTAAATCCTATCTTCTTAATATTTTTTCATTTAAATGTTATTAAAAAACTAAACAAATAGTATTAAAACATACTCCACGTGTTAATCATGAAAAATTATTTGGGTCTTTACAGAACCTTAATAATGTCGGAGTTAGTACGGCAGTAATGCTACATTTAAAGGCGCATGCGCGAGAACACAGCTTTTACGGGAATCTAATTGGCTGTACAGTGCGCATACGCGAAAACGCGACTTCGCAACAACACTGACCTTAATAATGGGTGCGTTCAGACAACTCAACGGTTGAGAGATCATCACTTATGATAGGACTATTCTTCAAAATCTGCAGCGGGTTCCAAAAGTATGATCCAATCAGAAGTGATTATCTCTCAACCGTTTTGCAACCGTTGGGTTATCTGAACGCACCCAATGCTACATTTAAAGGCGCATGCGCGAAAACACAGCTTTTACGGGAACCTAATTGGCTGTACAGTGCGCATACGCGAAAACGCGACTTCGCAACAACAACACTGCGCCGTTGAGCCAATTTTGCATCAAACCAAACCAAACAACTTTTGCGATAGCGTCGTTTTTTTCGTCATGGACGAAATTACCGAACAACAATTGTGTGTTAAATTCTGCGTTGCAAATGAAATTTCTTGCGCCGAAACGTTTAGAATGTTGCAAGAAGCATTCGAAAATAATTGTGCGTCCAAAATCCAGGCGTACGAGTGGTACAAATCATTCAAAGAGGGTCGTACAACGGTCGAAGATTCGCCACAAACTGGAAGGTCATCCGCTTCAATTGACGACGATCACGTCGATCAAGTGAAGCAAATTGTTCTGCAAAATCGTCGTGCGAGCGCGAGAGAGATAGCCAGAGACATCGGCGTACCGTTAACATCGGTACACCGTATATTAACTGATTGTTTGCAAATGGAACGCGTCTCTGGCCGAATCGTTCCGAAACAACTGAGTCTCTTTCTAAAACAGCGCAGATTGGACGTCGCTAATGAGATGCTTTCCGCGGTACAAAAGGATTCCACGTTCATGAAACGCGTCATAACTGGCGACGAGATGTGGGTCCACGAGTACAAAAGAGAAACGGAGCAACAATCGTCCGAACGAAAAAAACCAAGAAAACCGCGTCAAACCAAGTCAAAAACAATCAAGGCGCTTTTGACTGTTTTCTTTGATCATCAAGGTGTTGTTCATTACGAGTTCCTTCCGACGGACGGGAGGACGGTCAACAACAAGTATTGTCTCGAAGTTATGAGACGTTTGCGCAGCGCTATACGTCGCAAACGGCCGGATTTGTGGGCGGATAACTCATGGATTTTGCATCACGACAACGCGTCCGCCCACACAACCATGCTTGTTCGCAATTATTTGGCCCAACATTCAACGAACATGGCTCCGCAGGCGCCGTACTCACCGGATATGGCACCGTGTGACTTTTTCTTGTTCCCCAAATTAGAATTGTCACTTCGAGGAAAACGTTTCGAGACGTTGGAGGCCTTGAAAGAAAATGCGACGAAGGAGCTGAAGGCAATCCCGACTTCGGCTTATGAAAGGTGTTTCGAGGACTGGTTGAAGCGCTGGCACATGTGTATCGCCTCCGATGGGGATTACTTTGAAGGGGATTACTTTAAAGACAAAATAAGTTTGGATGATTAACATAAAACATTTGTGTTTTATTTTTACAATTTCCGAGTAATTTTGGGACACACTGTACATTATTGTGGTTTGTAATACATATATGCTAGCTGTTATCGTGGCGACTGGCTGTGTGCTGTTCGCTGACACAACACGTCAGAATAAAAATTAACAATAGCGCGCCTGTGTTGTGCGCTAGTCAATTTTTAAAAAAGAAAAACTCAAAAATTTACGTTTTAAGTTTTATTCAGTTCAGTTCGTATAAGCATACCGTGTAAAGGATTTAACATTCCTTACACAGTACTACATGCTATAATTTTACACAACTCAAAATATCACCGAAATTTAACACATTGCAAAATATGAATACAATTTTGTTCTATTATTACAAAGACATTTTGCGACCTTCTATTGATATATCTACCGCTCTTCTCGTGGACTTCATTCGTTTGTTATCTATATAGTTTTTCATATGCCTTTCAAATCTACTCATTTGCTTTTTGGTACTCTGTAAAAAATATAACATAAGCGCACAAATGTCATATACATGAATTAAACAGATATATTTTAGATAAGTTCAAAAGTTAAAGTAGATATTTTAATTAAGTTTAAGTTACAGCTTACGCTGATTAAAACTCACAATACGTAAACGGTCAATAAGAACTTTACGCTGGATTTTAGAGTTGCAAAATAAATAAATAAACCAATAAAGTATCTATATATGTATATATAGGATGTGTGTGTGTGTGTGTGTGTGTGTGTGTGTGTGTGTGTGTGTGTGTGTGTGTGTGTGTGTGTGTGTGTGTGTGTG